AACCTGTTTTAAATGCTTGCAATCATTAGCCCACTTCCTGAACCCTATGCAAACTTAATTTGGTGTTGTTCTGAGTCGTCGTTAATTTTTGGTGATTTTTTGTTTTCTCCATTGAAAGCCTTTGAACGGACCATTCAAAGGCTTTCAATGGAGAATTTTAAAAATCACCAAAAATTAACAATGACTCAGAACAACACCAAATTAAGTTTGCATAGGGTTCAGGAAGTGGGCTAACGATTGCAAGCATTTAAAACAGGTTTCTAACAGTTTAAGACACTTTTACAGGAGCGAAAAAGGGACATTGTTAAGTGAAATTCCCCCATAGAGAACATCGTTAAATGATGGGGGAAATTCCTCAAAGAAACCCATCGCTGTGTGAATTCATCGTTGTATGAAGCAATCGTTGTGCGAGGCACCACTGTACACAAACACAGCCTCCTCTCTCAAAAACCAAGGCAAGTAAGCAAACAAAAGAAAAAAGTATGATCAACCCCCACCATCAAAATGGCTATAATATGGGGAATTTTATTTCCTTCCACTACTTAATGTAGTCCTGATCTTCTTCACTTTGAGTCCAGGACATCAGCAGTTAACAAAAGTAATGCTCTGAGAACTTGGGGGGGGAGGGGAGAATCCCCACAAAATATCGAGGAAAAAGGATATGATCCAGAGGCACATTTATGCAACAAAAAATGGAAGTTGTCAGTAAGGAATTAACACCCACCCACAAGGAATGAGTAGAGTGAACCAAAGAAAGCAGTCCCACCGCGTTCCAACCAGTTCAAGCCCTTTTACAACTTCCCACTCTCCTCTGGACATTCTATTTGGCTTCTGACCTTGCAATGGAATTTGACTGAAAAATTTCCTGGGCATTTTGACAGACGCTAAAAAGAAATTTCAAATGAGATAGGGGAAATGAAAAAACAAAAATTTCATTTGCCCCTTTCCTTAAAACAAACCATTCATTTTTAGAAGGCTGTTTCAGAAACCATCGGAAGACCACTCAAAAAAAAAAAAAAAAAAACAGGGGGTCTTTTAAGTAGTTTTTCATATGTTAGAAAATGAAAATCGCATACTTAATTACCACTGCCATGCAGTAAATTAACATCCTACATTATTATCCATCAGATTAAATCTTAAATTGGATGGCGTCGTACCTCTATGGAATGTAATCACTGGTTGTCAGAGGTGTGTGTGTGTGTGTGTGTGCGTGTGCGTGTGTTGTGTACACATGCCTACAGACAGAATATATGTGGAAAATCTGAACAGGTGTGCGTGCGTTGTGTACACATGCCTATAGACAGAATATATGTGGAAAATCTGAACAGTGGGTTAATTAGTGGTGAAATGAAGTAAGTGCAGTATTACATGGAAAAGCTGAATGAGTGCAAGGTTATACTTTCCATGTAATACTGTACTTATTTCATTTCATATTTGCTGAACAATTATTCCAGCTTTGTGTGAAACCACTATTTCAGCGTTGTGTACACATGCCTATAGACAGAATATATGTGGAAAATCTGAACAGTGGGTTAATTAGTGGTGAAATGAAGTAAGTGCAGTATTACATGGAAAAGCTGAATGAGTGCAAGGTTATACTTTCCATGTAATACTGTACTTATTTCATTTCATATTTGCTGAACAATTATTCCAGCTTTGTGTGAAACCACTATTTCAGCTCACAGTTTAAACCAGGACTCAGACTTGGTCAGCTCCAATGCTTTAATCTCATGCTGGACTCTTCCTTTGAAGTTTCCTGGATTAAGAATGTCAGCTTTCAAATTGCAAAGAAGTCAACATCAAATCACTTTATATATAAGAACTCTTAAATTCACTATGAGTAGATAGATTCAACAATTTTAACATTTACAGAGAAATTAACTTAATAGAATTTACTCCCAAGTAAGTTTATATAAGATTGCAACCTCAAACCCAAACTATATCATTACTTTAAATGACTTGCCACTTACTTTTCTGGCAGGACCCATTGTAACAGTGTTATGCCCTGGTGGTGGTACTTGTTCTGTGATGACAATTCTAGATTCATTATTGGAATGGTTAGCAACAGACTCTTCCTTTCTCTCTTAAAAGACAGAAAAAAGCAAAGAGCGAAAGTTGTGAATATTCTACTGTAGTCCTAAGTGATATGTTCCTGTTACTCAAGCTTATTCATTTGGCTATTTTTTTTTTTAAAAAAGCCCATTTCATTTAAGAAAGAAAGAAGATTAAAACGTACATGTTTTGAAGCTCTTTTTAAGAGTCTCTACTAGTCATCAACCTTGAATGGAAAATCTGTGTGGGATCTATCAGTAGCAATGTTTTTCCTTTGCAGTATTTCAGTAAAGACAGAATAAGTTAACTTTCACTACTTAATAAATTACGTCACTGAAAGTGTTAGAGCTTTTGAGACAATTTAAAGCAGATTTTAACAAAGCTTTCTCAGATTTGACAATGAGTAGTTCTGAAAACAATTATTTTCTCATTGTTTAAATTAAGAAAACCTCACTTTCATTCTAAAACTATCATTTCAAATTAGGTGTATGAGTTACTCCCAATTTCCCGAATACAGCACAGCTTGATAGTGATTTAGTAAAGTTCAGATTGTGTCTGAAATGACCCGATCAGGCCACTAGATAATATGGAGTACTTAAGATCATACTAAAGGTGTGACTATACATTGGGAAAATGTGAATGGAACCACTGTGAAGTTGGGTTTTCCCAGGTTAATTCACTTCAGCCAACCACACAGGAGTCAGTAGACAGAGGGGAGGAAATCAGGCTTGTTTGTAGCTTAAATGTTTGAATGCTCTCCTTGCTTGTTTCCCTTTTCTCTTCCTGATCTATTTCTTTTTTTTTATTTTAAAGGCTTGCTGTCCTAATACTAGTATTAGGACACCTAGGTGACAAGGGAGGGAGGAAGGGAGAGGGAGAGAGACAGAGACAGAAAGGGAAAATAAGGACTCAACAGAGACAGAGGAGGAAATTTTAAGGCAGCTCTGCTTTGACTGTCCAGATTTGCAGAAAGCACCATCAGAGCAGAACTACCTGAAAACCTCATCCTCTTTCTGTCAAGTCCTCACTCTGTCCCACCCACTGCATGGTTTGGTCACCTAGGTTCCCTAGCACTAGATTGGCAAGCCTTGAAAATAAAGGAAATGGAAATAAAATGGGAAGAGAAGGTGGAAGCAGCCCCAGACACCAGGAGAATATTCAAACAGCAGCCAGTTTTCCCACGGCCCTGTGTCTCTCACTGCTGCTGTAGCCAGATGGAATAGCTTTAAATATAATGGCTACAAACTCCTTCACATCAGACCAAGCAATCACATTATTTAAACCTATGAGAATGAATTTGATTCCAAAAAAAGAAGAAGCTCTAGCAATGGAGGAAAAAAACTATGGATTAGAGGGCGATTCCTGTTGATTTTTATATCATATAGTCAGCAGAAAACAATGTAAATCAGATCATCTTAATCTGTCAAAGAAGTCATACCTTGTACCTATATCTACAGTGTTCTGGGCATGAAATAATTAAAACATCATCACACTATGTTTGGGGGTGGGGATTTCTGAAATCCATGCAGGTTTTATAGTGGAAATCAGGTTTTCCAGCATTATTGGCAATAGATGAATGTCAGCACAGGTATCTTCTCCAAATGGCCAAAGAAATGATCAAAACTAACTCATGACCATCAGGAGCTCAGAAAGGAGTGTGCATATAAAATTATATCAAAGGCCAACATACCAAGGACTGGTTATCTTTCTCATCCTTTCTGCCTCTACTGAAGACACTAAGCAGAAATGTCTACAAAATTCTCCACACCCATTATAAGGACTGCAGGAGTTTGTAACATCTATTTATCAATAATGTTGTATTTCTGAACACAATGGTATTTTACTTAGCTCTGTACTATTATATAAAATACAGCAAATGAGAGATGGAAAAAACAACCATGTCTTGCTGCCTAAGAAGCAAGACAAAAATAGATTCTATAGACTGAAATATTGATCCTTGGATAATTTTACATACTTGCCTAGAGGATATATACCTTTAAAGTGAATGATGGCAACAAAGCCCCAAACCAGTGAAAAGTCTTTCATTCAGAGCTCCCTGTTTTCTACTCATCCCTGACAGCAGACAATAATTATTTTAAGAAAGATAAGGCTGCACAACAGTATGTGCTTTGATGAGTAATTTCTGGTTCAGAGAGCTATTAATAGTACAAACTATTTTATGCTGCTGTGTGCTGGGAAATACACTCTTTTTTTAAATAGTGTCTTTCAGAGTTTGTAAGCATGGCTGCAATCAATGTGGCTTTTCCCAAGATCTGAGATGAGTAGAAGAAACAGATTTACTTCTAAGAAAATCAAAGAGACTCTATGACACACAGTATCTTAATTTATACAAAGTGACGTGATATAACAAGTTGATGAATCTTGTGACAAGTCAAGAAAAAATAAATAATACCCTATAATTGCTTTTGCACTTCAATATCTCTGACTACCTGAGCCTTTGGCACCATTTACAGTTTAAATGCTGAAATTAATGGTCAAGATAGAATTTGTTAAAACTGAAGTTTAATATTTCCATTGTTTGTATTTTCTCTCTCTAGTTTGTGTTCTATGTCTGCAAGTAATCCTATGAAAAAGTATGACATCTTTCCAGTGATGTGCTACATAAAATTTAATGTCTCAATCCATTGATATGTGTGGATCCCTCACAAAATTACGGTAAAGCACAAGTGAACAGCTACAAAAGTATGCCTGAAGAAGCGAGCTGTAACAATCCATGAAAGCTCATAATGAAATAAATTTGTTTGTTTAGGGTCCCACCACACTTTTGTTTTTTGTTAATGTTATTACTTATAGGTGAATAAGCCTATCTTATTGAAAGACTGGAATGGTCATAAACATCTTTAAATATCACACCAATATGAGAAAATCCATATTTTAAAATATTAATTTTGTGGTGGGTTGAACATTATTGCACATTTCTCTTTTAGACTATTTTTCACCTTATAAACATTTTATTTGAAGATAATTAAAACTACTACTTCCTACAGTCTTTGAACATTTGGGATAAGCATTTTCTGAAGTCATTGACAGCATAAGTCTTCAGAATTCTACATGATTTGGACTAATGTAGTATTCTTACAGACTTTCTCAGCCATCTTAATCAACATACTATATCTAATTGTGGATCTCAGCTGATATATTATATACATAAAATAAGTTCACCTGCATTCAGTATATTAGAAATGTCTGCTCTAAAGATTGCATGAAAATGGAATTATGGGAAATACCTGTTTCTAAAAGGGTTTTACTGTAATGTAAAGATTATTTAATAAGATTATTTGCTTTTATGTCAACCCTTTTTTTGAGACACTGGCACAAATCAAACAACATGATACTTTTTGTTTCTAAATCTCAAAGCATGCATATGTATAATACAGGATGAAATCCAATTGTAAATCATGGTGGGCCCACTACTAGAGTGGACCCACTGAATCACAAGAATGTACATAAGGTGTTGATTAACTAAATATCCACTGATCCCGTGGGCAATGTACTACTGGATCTCACCCTTACTGTAATTCCAAATCAACTGTCCAAGTACTGTAACTTAATGCAACCAAATCAACAGCAGCCATGAGCAATAGGGACATATCAGCGGACTTGGCAGGATTTGCAGAAGTACGAAAAGTCTTCAGACAAAATTCTTCAGGGTGAATGCCATCCCAGAACACCCCAAAGGAAAGTGGGCATGTTCAGTTTCAATCAACTGCTGGGATACTGCACAGATGCCCTTCTTAACTGCAATGCCAGACTGCTGGTCCTATTGCCATTTTTGATTAGCAGTGCTAAACATTAATGGGAATAATCTTACATTTGGACCAGAAAAAGCTTTTATAGACACTTGTAGGATAATGAAATCTTCCTTCACTGTATAACAAGGCAAAAATCTCAGTCCTATGTATTACCTGCTTCTTTTTCGGTATCTGACTCTGAAGCGTAATCTTCCTCAGCTTCTTCCTCTTCAGAGCTTGAACTACTGGATTCTTTGTTTTCCTCTTCTCTTCCTGTGGATTTCAGACTCTCTATCTCATAAAGAATCTTCTCCTTGCTGTAGTACAAATGTTTGGAAAAATGAGCTCACTGAAATGTTTACTTAAGGAGTTAACAATACAAGAGTGTGACAGACAACATCCAGAATTAGTTCTGCAAAACTATTTAAGCAAATTCCATAGGCAATATACAATAGACTGGTCCTGATCAAACATTCAAATCATCTAATTCTACAAATGTAATGGGTGAGGAAGGAAAAGCCTGGCTATAGGGTGGGGCAGAGGAGCTTATTTTCCAGCTTGTTCATTCCAGCCATTCCCTGCACAATTAGGTCAGTGGAGTGGTGATCTACACCAGAGTTCAAACAGGTCCTGCTCTGGTCACACACAGCTAAAGAAGGTTTAAATACATTTAAAACTAGTGCTCCCCCACTGTTGCAAAACTCACTGATATCCCATTCTGTCTTCATATGGTAGCCACTTGCAAGTTTTTTTTAAAACTACCCGTTTTTCTTACCCATCTCAATCAATTCTCACAACAAATCCTGCAAGACGTTCATACTATGCATATTTGGACTGGAAATCTTACTTTTTGATACATCCACTTTGAAGTTTCCCGTTCATATCAGCTTCAATTAATTTGTTTCTTGACTCTTCGCTACGCAGCTATCAAAAACACAATTAAAACCCATTTTAAAAAACTATTAATTACTCTGGTAGATAATTCTGCTATTGGGTATGCCAAAAGGGGCTTCACACAAATGGAAGTGAACAATGCTTGCTACCACTAAGCTGTAATAGTTATCGGTGACAAGAAATGCATGTACACATATGAAAGAACCATGCATGGCAGACATTCACATGGATTTTTCTACTATAAACAGAAGAATCGAAAGGAGGAAGACAAAGAGAGTACATCAGATCCAGCATCCTAGGGGAAGCTGTTTTTGGAGCTTGGGAGCATGAAAGCAAATTAGGAATGGATCTGTGGACTAGAACTCCCAGAATTCTCTCTGGGGAATTCTTAAAGAACTCTGGGAGTTGGACTTTAAAAAATGGCTAGGCATTACTATGCATAACCCACAGCTCCATTAGGAAATTCAGAAAGGTCATCTGAATCCCACTCTAAACTTCTCTTTCATGCCATAACAGAGTTTATAGAACAGAGCATCCTCTTCCTTCCAAACTCCATTATCATGTTTAAAAGGTATTGAAGATTCTGTATCATTCCTGTCACTACAGTTTAACTGTGAGGTATTTAATTTAATGCTTCATAAGCAACTATGAGGAAAGTGACATTTAGCTTCATTCCATCAAGCAAGGAATCACAAAAGAGAGGTCCTTGAATATTGGCTACTTAAAGAGAATAGCTGGGAGCTCACCATATTCTGTTTCTTCTGCAACATTTCTAAATGTTCAACCAGTCCCTCGTCAGCTACATCAAATGGTGTCTGACCCTGGTGATATGAGAAAACAAAGGCACTACAGAGGATGGCATTTTGCAGTATGATACAAAGCTTATCTATGAAGTATGAAGTGAAATCAAGAACATACAGAATATATCTTGTTCAAGTACTTTGCAAAACAATAAAAATTACTCTGTGGCTCAAATGAACATTTTAGCATACATTAGTTGCCGACTTAGAATATATTTTAACCGACTACTGTCACTCACATCAGGTATAGAAGTGAGGATGAAACTCTGAAAAAATCTTAATATATACAGCAATCATATGGAGAAATATCTCAATTTATAGCACACATTCTTACAAAACAAACTGTTGTCTTTGTTATAGCAAGCTGAGCCTGTCAGTGCAATTACCACACACTACATCCTTCTGTTGTCAGTTCCTCCTTACTGTTTCCCAATAAATTTAATTGTGATTTATGTATTTCCTTTTTGTTCCGACATTCTGTCTAAGGTTATGCAACAACCATAAGTAAGAAACATCAATTAAATGCATCACAAAAAGCACAATTAAAGTTCTACAAATTTGTAATTAGAAAGTGAAGCAGCAAAAATGACCACTATTCTCTTCCAGCAAAACATTCACTTCCAGCAAAACAAAGTCCTGGTATGACAAAACTGTTTTCAAACTACACAAGTCTCCAATAACCATATTCTTTCTTAATATTTGTAATCCCAGTTTAAAATCCTGATCATCAATCGTTATGATTAAGATTTATGCAGGAAAAAATCCTTAATCATAGTTTAGCTCATTGGGGAGTAGGCAGAAGTAAGTTTGCTCAAAATACAATGGGAATTGCTGGAGGGAGTATGCAACACTGTGATCTTCTTGGCTATGATCAGGTTACACCAGTGTGATTTTTCAAGTGGATTCTAGTTCAGTTGGATTTCTAATCTATATCCCCAAACCAATCAGCAATTCCATTGAAACATCTTAATGTCATTGTTTTGCTCAAGACTTGGATCAATAAAGTAATCCCTCTGTACACAAGAATAAAACAAGTAAAAAGCAGTTAATCATAGGGATCATGAAGTATCAAAGCTCAGAGTATTCACCTACATTTATAACCTTAGTGGGTGACTGGACAGTCTGTGTACCTTCAGTCTGTTAGCAAACTAGCAAAATGTCATGTTATAAGAGAACAATATAATCAGTAACATCTCTTATGTTTAGGGTCCTAAAGTGGCTTATCAAGGGAAAAATAAGTGAACATAAACTCTGTTTTCAACATTTCAAATCTATTTCAGCTGATGTGGAGTAAAAATACTCACAATGCAACCTAAATAAGCTACATATTGAAGCTGAGTCACAAGCAGAAATTACATATGTGCAATTTTGGAGCACATTTGGTTTGCCAAAAACTATGGTCAAAATTTCTAAGTGGAAACTGTCCATATCTCTGTGAGTTTTTGTACTGTATTAGTAGTCTAAGGCTCACTAACCAGCTTGTTCCTGATGTCCATGTCACAGAGTGCTTCAGCCAAGATAGTGCAAGCTTCCTTCACTCCCCAGTGTGCAGCAGCATGGAGTGGAGTCCAGCCATCATTGTCCTGGACATTCACATCAAACCCAGCTTGGATCAAAAGTCTATGAAAAACAAGTGAGTGAAAATGGCAGCTGTTCAATCTTGCAGACTAACAGGCACTGTGAATAGTGTGCAGTGGCTTTGTCAAGAAAGCTCATCCTGTGACAGAAACTAGCAGGCTAAAGCAGACAGCTCAATGTCATGAAAAAGAGTTATATTAATGATAAGACAGCCTCCTTGTAATGCAGGTGTAGTTAAGCAAGATTAGACCCAAAAAAAGCAAGAATGTGGAGGAATTTGAGTAAAAAGAGAGTGCAAAGATAGAGTTCTGCAGACGCACTTTAAATGGACAGGAGGAAGCTTAGGAACAAAGAGGCACTGATATTCTCCAGTGTATTAACATCAAAGCAAATGCACTAAAAAAATCAGTATGCAAGACACAATTCATCCTTAAACTACAGATCCATGTTTTGGTACACACTAATTAAATCTCAGCAAGGACTCTGGCAGAGGTCTGTCCTAGCCTTGTAGGTATCTGATAGTGTTCTTCATAGAGACACCAGAAATTAAATCTGAGACATCCAGTGGCTGCAATCCTGTAGTTTAGTATAGTAAGTTGCAACTAGTGTAGGCCCACTGAATCGGTGGGGATTTGGTGAGTTAACTCCTCCATAAGTTCCATAGATTCAAATGAGCCTATTCTGCTCTACTTTAGCATAGTAAGTCACAATTGAAGTAGTGGTGCCTTGCTTAATGGCGATAATCCGTTCCAGGAAAATCGTCGTTAAGCAAAAACATCATAAAGTGAAAATAAATAGCGCATTGAAACGCATTGAAAACCTTTCAATGCGTTCCAATGGGCTTAAAACTCACCGTCCAGCGAAGATCCTCCATACAGTGGCCATTTTCGCTGCCTGTATAGCAAGGAATCTGTCCCTAAACACAGCGGGGAGCCATTTTAGTTACCTGGTGGCCATTTTGAAAACGCTGATCAGCTGTTTAAAAATCATAATTTTGCGAAGAATCGGTTTCCAAAACAGGGAACCGATCATCGCAAAGCAAAATTCCCCCATTTAGACCATCGTTTTGCGATCGCAAAAGCATCGTCTTGGAGCGGATTCATCATAATGCGGGGCAATCGTAAAGCGAGGCACCACTGTAGCCTCATTTGAATCAATGGAACTTGCTATTCAATGGATGTTTGGGATAGAGTTAAAAAGCAGGGAAATGATGAACAAGGAATTGCTGGAAATAACACAGACAATTTTGTGCTCTGCTTGAGAGGTGTTCCCTCTCTGCTTTCAGCTTCTCGGATTCTATCCAGACTTGGGCGGATATATTATACATTTTTACCTGTGAGTAAAATCCACTGAACTCCTATAGATAATGAATAGGACCACACTGAAAGCCAACTCTAGATTGAACTTAAATTCTGCTGGTGCTAACAGGAACTAAGAAAAGCCTTGACAAACTTGTTCTACTAACTTTATTGGAAGAGAGTTTAACTAAATTAGTATTTATCCAATCTGTGCTTTAAATGGAGAATTGTACAATGTTGTAGCTACAGTGCTAGACTGGGATTTGAGAGATTCAGGTTCAAGTCTCCACTCTGCCATACTGTGACTTTTAGACCCCTGGTCTGCAGACCAGTCCCAGTCAGTGGCCTGGGAAGGACCAGGACATCAGGACAGATGAGTGGCGAGCATTAGGTGAGCGACAAGTGAAGCTCCGCCTCCTGTCAGCACACTCCTATTAGGTTCTAAGCCGCTGTTGATCTAACAGGAGGCGGAGCTTCAATTGCAGCTCATCTCCTGCTTCTGCCCACCACAAGTACCCCTCCCCCCCGGTCCTAGGAAGAATGGTATTCAACTAAACCAGACCCTGGTGTCAAAAAGGTTGAGATCCACTATTTTAGACCATCCATTCTCTCTCCTTGCAGGATGGTTTGGAAGATGAAGGTAGGAAAGGAGAGTCACATATGCTGCTTTGATTTCACTGGAGGTAGTGGGGAGAAATGTGACAACAATATAGCTTAACGTCATGTATAAATGCATTAGCCTTAATAAGAAGCACAACATAGTCGAAATTCATGTGAACTGCTGGATAGCTCAGTGGTTTGTGTATCTGGCTGTGGAGCCAGAAGTTGGGAGTTGGAGTCCCCACTGTGCCTCCTGGATAGAATAGTCTATAGAGTCCCTTCTAGCTCCGCAGTTCTCTTAAGAAAAAACAGATCAGGCTTAAACGAGTCTGTGATTTTTAAAAATGAATGTCACTGAAAGACTGAAAGAAACTTTTGCTGGGACATATCCTAGACTTCTCTAAAACTTTTAGGGTTTGCATTATTTATGCTGCAGCTATGGAAGAAAGGAGTCTTACTCAATAACCTGATAGTAACAGTAATATTTACATGAGGTAGATCAACACTGAAAGGAAACACACAGCAAGACTCACAAGTTTCTGTTTCCCAAGAAAGAGCACAACTTAAAAGGAGGAACCAACTTACTGAGTGTAACATTCAATATATGAATAAAATACTGATGCTCTCTTCATTGTTTTAAACAGCATTAACTAAACATGTCTTGGGAAACTAGCATAAAGTTACAAATGTTACAAATGTTAACTGCTACTTTTTCCTCTAGTTGACAAAATGGGCAAATTTCATTTTAATACATATAAAGTCAGTGCTGATGTGTCTGCATCTTCAATCAGAGCCAATCCTGCAATTGCTATACTGTACTTGGAGCATCTATCTTAGCAATCAGGCTCCTGCAAGAAAGAAAAAAAAGAATAGCTACACAGTATCCCAGCAATGCTGTTAAACTGTGTGCTTCTTATCCAGACTGCAGACAATAGACTGTAACAAAAAGAAACCCAAATAAATATGGGGCCAAAGCCAAATTTCAGAATTTTTTGTATTTCTTTTTTAACATGTGTGGGTTTTTTTAAAAGTACATTATCTGTCCTTGCTTATGCAGCAGGCTATAGAAAATGAAAGAGGTCAGATATCTGCCAAGGCACTGGAGCAGACAATGCCCTTCTGCTTTAATAGCACTATCATCCCTGTTTTCTTTGGATAACTCAAGGCACCTTGTGAAACTGAAGTGTGCATAGCTTGCCACTTCCAGGATAAGGGGTTCACTAAGGGTGCTTGTTCACTGGTTTGTATATTCCAGCTGCCACTACAGCTTTACCTGGCAGCAATAACAATGAGCAAAGGAATACCATTTTACATTCAGATTTACCATAAATGTTCCAAGTCCATTCCACCTGTGATGTTCTTCTTGAAAATCCTAACCAGAAAACTGAAAGAACACTGTTAACTTTGTCTTCTCTGTAGCACTAAAATAGCCCAGATGTAGCACAGCCAACAGTGAGAGGGGATAACTACCTCATAACCTCAGAATAGCCCTTAGCTGCAGCCACATGTAGGGCAGTAGCACCCGTTCGAGATTGCCTTTTTTCTTCAATTTTCCCTCTATTCAGCCATTGCCGTGCATCTTGAAGCATTTGTTGCTCTTCTTCTTTTCTTGCCTGGTCAAGATCCAATCCTAGAGAAAGACATTACTGTTGAGAAACCCTTCTTAAAAGTAAGACAAAAATGCTACAAAGAAGAGGATTAATTTTTTTAAAAAAAAGGCCATTAGCATCAAGATTATATTTCCCACCCCAAAGATGATGTTTTGTACAATCTCACTGCAGTATGTTAGAACAAGAACTGGCAAAATCTGAATCTCCAGATGTTGCTGAACTGAAAGTCAATTTGAGGAATGCTGGAAGTTGTATTCTAGCAACATCAAAGGGTTATACTTGGCCTACCTCTACACAAGATGGTGAAGAGATTGATATATTTAGTTGAACTATATATTCTATTAAGGGGGTTGTATTCTTGGTTGATGAAGTAACTCATACAGCCTCATGTTACTCATGTGTAATCAACCAACCAACTGAATTGCTCACAGATAAATGTGCATAGGACTGCAACTTTAGTGGTCATATTGGATTAGTTGGCTTATTGTCTATACGGCTTAAAAAAAAAAAACAAAGGTGGGATTTCAGGAAGAATAGTGTCATCTGTAAATTATACATCAGTGTAAAGAGTATTTGTGTATGGAAAATACTCAAGAAGTCATACCAACGGTTGTAAAACCTACACTTTGGACTCTGACACGTGGACCAACACTCAGCAGAATTCCCATGCAACTAAAATTAATACACGTCATTAATCACAAAATTAGGTTTATTTTATACCATGCTCAACAACATGGTAACACTGTTGTCAAATCAAGGAGCTTTTCGCTGATTAGCAACTAGAATGTTTCCAGGAAGCCCAAAAGCAGAATACTAAACTGTGAGGAGATTAGCAGATATGCCTCTGGTGGTCTGTCTAGCCCTGACCCAGGGCCCCAGAAGCATGCTGTGCTTGGCTTATTGGGGAAGATCTTGCAAAGCAGACACAGGTTTCAGGATACTACAACCTAGACTGAGCCTTTCCCACAGGAAATAACAGAGAAAACACCAGTGTTTGCACACATCCAACAGACCAGTACTACTGGCCCTGCCCCAGTTGAGTAGCCTCTAAAGGAGGAATGGGACAAAATGAGTTGGAGGCTAGGGGATATAAAAGAGGCACTAGAGGAGATGTCAGCAAGGGAGCAGGAGTTAGGAAGAGCTAGAGAGTTAATGCTAGACCTAAGGCAGGGGTCTCCAAACTTTTCACTTTGAGGGCCACATCATATACCAGTGATGGTGAACCTTTTTGAGCCTGAGTGCCCAAGCTGCAACACAAAATCAACTTATTTATTTCGAAGTGCCAATACTGCAATTAAAACCCAAATGCTGAGGTTTTAGTTTAGAAAAAACAACTGCTCCTACACTGCAAGGGCTAAATGCTTTTTTTCCCTATGGGTGGTATTAACAAAGAAATACTTCCTGGTCCTCCAATCCCCCATTGGGCCAGACTGGTAATGGTTGCCATTGCACCCCTCTGCTGGACTACTGCACCAACAGAGGGGAGTGCAAAAATCTGAGATCGGAGGACGGGTAAGTAATTCTCTATGGCGACTTATGGCTCGTGTGCCCACAGAGAGGGCTCTGTGTGCCAGCTGTAGCACATCTGCCATCACTGTCATATACGTTCCATATTTTCGAGAGCCAAAGGAAGACGCCCACATATACATGCCAGCCTGCCCACACATCTGCACGCACTCACCCATGCACACATGCAGTGAAGAAGGCCAATTCCATGCTAGGTATCATTAAAAAGGGGGACTGAAAATAAAACAGCCAACATTATAATGTCATTGTACAAAATGCTGGTAAGGCCGCAATTGGAGTATTATGTACAGTTCTGGTCGCCGCACCTCAAAAAATACATAGTGGAACTGGAAAAGGTGCAGAAGAGAGCAGCTAAAATGATGTCTGGGCTGGGGCACCTCCCTTATGAAGAAAGGCTACAGTGTTTGGGGTTCTTTAGTCTAGAGAAAAGGCACTTGAGGTTGGGACATGCTTGAGCCTTACAAAACTTATAAAATTATGCAGGGGATGAATGAATTGGATAGAGGGAAGCTCTTTTCCCTCTCATGCAATACCAGAACCAGGGGACATACACCCAAATTGAGTGTTGGGAGAGTGAGAACAGACAAAAGAAAATGTTTCTTTACCCAGCGTGTTGTTAGTCTGTGAAAGTTTTTGCCACAGGAAGTGGTGATGGCATCTGGCCTATCTGCCTTTAAAAGGGGACTGGACAGATTTCTGGAGAGAAAGTCCATTGCAAGTTACAAGCCATGATGGGGATGTATAATCTCGAGGCTTTAAAGAAAAGTACTTCCAAATGCCAGATGCAGGGGAGGGATATCAGGAGACAGGTATCTAGTTGCCTCATGTGCTCCCAGGGGCATCTGGTGGAGTCACTGGACTAGACTACAGGCAGCTGGACTAGATGGGCCCTTGTCCTGATCCAGCAGAGCTCTTCTTATGTAATGTACATATCCTTATGAACTAGGTAAATATGAACCTAACTGGCAAGAGAGAATAACATAATAGCATATTTCATGGTATATTCTCACCTGTCAATTAGGTTTTTGTTTATCTGTTCAAGCAGATTCTTTTTGGAGCTTTACAATCTGCCTAGATTTCTGCTATGCTAAGTAATCTGGTGCTACGAGTAAATTTAGCTAGTTCAATATTCACTTCCATTGCTGTTGGTGATGTTACAAGCTGACAAGTTGCTTCTAATTTACAATAATCCTTGAAATTAATGACCTCCAAATTGTCTTGACATTAACAATTTGCAGACTAAAGGCCTTGCCTTTCTTTACTGAGGCACTTCATGTTCAGTCTCCAGTCTCCTTCCTTTATTACTGCCTAATATTTCTCCTGGCATTATTATGTTTTTAGTGAGTCTTGTCTTCTCACGTATGTCCAAGTATGACAGCCTCAGGTTAGACCATTTAGCATCTAGTTGAGCATTCAAGCTAGATTTTATCTAATAATAATTAATAATTTTGTGCTGCGAAAACAATTCTGACTTATGGTGATCCTTGGGGCCAGTTTACTTGTCTTACTGACATGGTATCCATAGAGTTCTCCTCCAACACCACAATTCAAATAAATTATTTCTTTTACTTACCAAAATTTTCTTCATTGTCTAATTTTCACATTTATACATAGTAATTTGGCCAAGGCCAGTTCAGCCATCATATGAATGCTCTCACCCTATCCAGTGATATATCCATATATTTGGAATACCTTTTTAATGTCTTCATCACTCCTCTCTCAAATCTCGATTTTCTTATGTTTTAGCTACAGTCTCCACTTGAACTGATTACTTGAACCAAGCTACATAAAAAAAATTACAGTTCTGCTTTTTTCATTGTCAACAATAAATGTGTAAATCTTCTGTGTTCATTATTTTTGTTTTCTTAGTATTGAAGTAAAATCTTATGTTTGCACATTCTTCTTTAAATTTCATCAATAGCCATTTCACATTGTTTGTATTTTCTTCCAGTAATGTCATCCATATATCTCAAATTATTGATGATGCTTCTAGCAGTTTTCATTTCTCCATCATCTAAATCTAACCAGTAATTCTGTATCACGTGTTCTACATATAGACTGAATAGATAGGATGACAAAATACAGTCTTGTCTGACATATTTGCTAACTGGAAAGCACTCTGCTTCTCCATATTCAGTTCTAGCAATAGTCTTTTATCAAGAGTATAGGTTTTGAGTTGGCCACAGTGATAGACCTCCCTCTAATATCTCCTGTGACCAATCTGCGGCATTTTTAAAATCTCAAGTTGAGGCCATCTGCCGGAACCTTGATCCCTTTTTATAGACAGTAAATCAAACTGAGATGTCCAGTGCATCGTCTTGCCCAGCAAGGTTAACTTGCTTTCAACCTGTGATGTTCAATGAGGTGGACAGGGTGCTTGTGCACTGTCGTGCCACCACCTGCTCTTTAGACCCTTGTCTGGCTTCGCTCATCAAAGCAGCCAAGCTGGTAACAACACAATGGGCCACTGCAATAATTAATGGGTCTCTCCAGGAGGGCATGGTTCCCCCTGCCTTCAAGGAGACACTCATTAGGCCCATTAGA